AAGTATTAAGAAGTTAAATGTTTTCTTTTCTTTGCACCCCAATCTTCTATGATTAGTTTAATGCGCTAGAAATTTGCAAATTTTCCGGCCGCTTGTTTTGTTCGATTCTCTTATTCTCGGAATATTCGTACTTCGTATTGTCTCAAATCTTCAATCATGTAAATGCTGACCATAAAACCATAAAAGAGTTCATGTAACAAAATCACCAAAATGCTGACCATAAAACCATAAAAGAGTTCATGTAACAAAATCACCAAAAATATTTAAAAAATATAACAGAGTATAATAAAAATTGGAAATTCTTTTTAATTTACAATTTTAACTTGCTTTTAGAAAAGCATGCCTCTAAATTAAAATAGGTTAGATAAATAATAAAATTAAAATAGAACTAGTCTCTAAATTAAAATAGATTCTTGCTTTTAAAACACTCAAAAAGTTTAGTTTTCACAATACAATTTTCAAATTGGATTTTTTGAATTATATGATAAAGCACAACGTTAAAGATATTCAAACTTATGGAAAAAAAATTGCTTTTATAGATTCATCGCAGTTTCGCTATCATCATTCGCTTTGCCAAAAATACTCAAAACGTTTTGTAGCCAAGACGAGTTGTCCGCTCATCATAGGTCAATAGTTTGGTTGAAGCTAAAGCAGCGGTTTTAGTAGAGCAATAATTTCCCGTAACCGATTTGCAATTAGTTTTATTGAGGCAATCTGAGCTGAACGTCTTGAGTACGAAAGCTTGTAAAGAAAAATTTAGCATCTAGCGGAACTACAACTGAAAAAAAATCTTAGACTTTTATTTATTTATTACAATAAACAATAAAACTTGTTCATAGAAAGTTTTATTTTGATGCAGGACAGCAATACCAGACTTTCATATGTTGATAATTGACATTGCTGCAGCCAAAGTAGTATCATAAACATATTTTTAAAAAAAGTTTACTCTAGTGAAATTATCAATTACATTGTACGCTAATTTATTGCAACGGTTTGCAACACAGTTTGTAAAAATGTGCTGACGTTTAGGATAACCTTTGATAAGTTGAGTTATAAACAAGCCATTTTTTCTTAAATTATATTCTGAGTTTGATGAGAAAATGCTCTAGTTGTAGAATGTAAAATTCAACGTACAGTGTCTCAAAAAATTATCCAACCAAACAAGTTTTTTTCCAAAAAAAAATGTTTACGCTCTAAATTATATTAAAATCAATGAACATCGATACTTACTTTGACTGTCATTTTAACTCGTATGTAATTTAGCGTTCATATTTTTTGATTCATGCTTCAGTTGGTTTATTATTTTGTCTTAAAAATAGTATTGAATAGGCTTGTAAAACAATTATCCGACCAAGCGATATTTAGGTAAGTTTAATTAATTTTATGTGAAATTTGTTGAAATATTTTAGCAAATTTTTTAACAAGTAATTAAATTGTATAACAAAAAACTGTTTTTTTTTGTAGTAAAAAAAAAAGTTTTGTATAAAAAAAAGGTTTCATGTTTTTTTAAGTAAAATGGTTGAAGGTAAACGTCACTTACTGTTTCTGAGAGAAACTTTGCTGTCGATCTAGTCAATCAGGGTAAAACCTATCGTCGCGTGCAGCAAGAGACTGGAATTCCTCATAATACAGTATCCGACATAATGAAGAAGTATAATTTGATCGGAACAACAGCCACAAAAGAAGGGCAAGGTCGCAAAAAAAGACTTAGAGTTTTGATAGAAACTTACAACTCAAGAAAAATCGCTTCATTTCTGCTCGAAAACTGGCTGAGCAAGTTGCAGAGAATTATGGAATCAAATTATCCCATAAGACAATCAGAAATCGTATCAGAGACCAGGGATTTCATAAACGACTTGTGCGTAATAAACCATATTTGAGTAAGAAACACATGAAAAGAAGATTGGAGTTTCCTAAGAAGTTCAAAAACATGGCGTTAAGTTTCTGGAAAAAAAACCTGTGGAGCAATGAATCAAAATTTAACTTAAAGTCATCTGATGGAGCCCAAAAAGTTCAGAGAAAAGCCTACAATTTAAGCTGCGTGAGAAGAACTGTCAGGTATGGTGGCTGTAACGTGATGGTATGGGGTTCAATTGATTAGAAGGGTGTCGGAAAACTCCAATTTATTGATACTATAATGGATCAGGTGCAATACAGAAACATTAAAGCAAAATTTGAAGTCATCTGCTCGAAAACTTCGGCTAGGATCTGGTTTTACATTTAAGGAAGATAACGATCCCATGCCTAGTGCCATTAAAACCAAGGAGTGGTTTGCTGAAAATAATGTTGAGGTCTTGGAATGGCCCGCACAATCACCGGACCTTAATCCCATTGAACATTTGTGGGAAAATTTGGACCGAAAAACTGGAGATCGATCATTTTCCAAAAAAGATAACATCAAAGTGGCAATTGAAGATGCCTGGTAAAAGATTCAACCAGAAGAAACAAAATCTTTAAATTCGAATCAATGCCTAGACGTCTATAAGCTGTAATCCAAACAAAGGGAGGCCCTACAAAGTATTGAAATAATTGTTTTGTTATTTAATAGTTTATTATGAAACAAAAAATGTGTTTGGTCGAATATTTTTTTGACAATAAAAAAACGACCTAAGTTCCTTTATTTTAAGACTGAAAACTTTGTGATTTATATTTTACACTAAAATAAATAAAATCTATTTAAAAACATTTTCTTTTATTTTTATTAATCTTGAATTTACCAAAAAAGTCTAAATTTACGAAAATACAGCACTTTTTTAGGAAAAATATTTAAAAAAATGTGTTTGGTCAGATAATTTTTTGAGACACTGTATTGTAAATAACATGCAATTTTGTATTACTGTATGCGTTCACTGTGTTCTTTGAGTGTTTAAGCCGAGTATTTTTTTGTTTTTGATCGTAACAAAAATGTTTAATTAACGATAACCTGCATTGTTAGACAGGTTGGAGTAAAGCCATTTTTAAGAAATGTTGATTAAGCTTGCACACTAAACTCTAGATGTTGTTCCTTAAATTCAGTTTTTGTATAGCTAGAGAGATCCGACACCGAAATGACTTGAGACAACAAAGCATTTGATTGTCACCTCAAGTTGGTGCTTTTATTTGTACTTTAACTCTGAGTTTTTTAAATATTAGTACTTCAAGGTCTCACTCAATGCGTTTTGGAACTATATTTCATCAGTTACCGTTAATACCAGTCACTGTATTATTAATTAGTTTTTACAACAACCAACTTGCATTACTTTGCACTTTTCAACATTGAAATTCATAAAACAGTTGTGCAACCAATTAACAAGCCTTGTTGTTGTCCGCCTGCAGTTTTTCATAATCAGAGGAAATTGATTGACACTAATAATGCAGTTTGGTAGTTTATTAATGAAGAACGCAAATAGCTGTGATCCTTGAGGGTCCACTTGTCACCTTTTTCCACTAGTAATTTTATTTTCCTATTTTAATTAACTGTTATCTAATTACTAGCTAACCAGTTATCCAGTTTAATATCTGGCCTCTCTATAAATACCATAAGCATGAGTAAGTGTTGAATGCTTCGAAAAGTTGGTAAATGCTTTACAAACCAGGTATCCACAGTAATCTGCTTTCTTTAAAAAGTTACGGGACTCAACCAGGTTTGTAAGGCAGCTGTAGTGATGTACAAATCCACGTTGAGACTTTGGTATTAGGTTGTGCGCATTGATTCATTATGCTATCTATAATAATTCTCTTCATCACTTTGCACAGTATAGGTGAGAGACACCAGCTTGTATTTATAAGTCTTGACTTTGTTTCCTTTTTAAAGGGTAGGCGTGACAATTAATTTGCATTGAGATTTTAACACACTATAAGGAGTCGTTAAACATTAGCAAATAAAATTTAATAAACCTAATTAAATTTTCTTTCAGATTAATTAAATTATTAATTAAAGTTTTTTTCAGAATAATCATAAAAGTATTTGTACGAGATATTTTTTCTGAAATAACCTGAAAAAAACAAAAATTATTTATTAACAATAAAATGTTATGTTTGGATAAGTTCTAAAGCCTATTTTAATGTTAAACAACTTTTTTTTTGTTAGGTCCTACGAACCAAAGAAAAGAAAATTAAACAAAGTTTTAATTGTTTTTCACATCACCAAGTAATTTTATTTTATACCTCATCAAAAAAAAAAACAATTTTTTTACTTTTTTGTAATTAAAATCTTGTAATTAAAGTTTTTTTCTTGTCTTTCGTCTTCTGGCGTCCCTATTCTTTTTGCACCCTGAGCGCGTATGCCCCTTTTGGCGACCTTATATGTATTTATATATTTTGCATCCATAAATAAACATTTATGCGTATGTATTTAAAAAACTCATTATAAAGTTATAAATTTATAAGCTCTTTTTTTAAAAAAATTAAATATGAATACCTTACAAAAGTGCGCAAGTAAATAAATATTTTTTTGCGCCCATACTCAGTGGGCATGGGACGTAAAGAAGACTTCTTTTAAACCTCCTTTTGAACGTTTTGAATGTCTTTTGAACGTTTTTGACGTCTTTTGAACGTCCAAAAGACGTCTTTATTAGGTCCTGTGCCCACTGGGTAATGTGCATAAAACTAAAAAAGAAGCAAAAAAACTGGATCCGTTTACTATAACATTTATAATATGACATTTTCTTCGAACTTTCTGCTCTAAATATTGGGCTGAGATTCCCTAAAAAATAAATAAAGTTATGGTAGATCCAATGCCTTTTTTAAAAAGCCTTAGTATTCTGAATAAGGGTTAGTTTACAAAACATGGGCGTTGAAACTTAACCAAAATTACAGACTGTAGATTTCAAGAAGAAAAGTAGTAATAATAAGAACGAACGGCATAATCATTATTTATTCTCTCTTTTCTTCAAGCTTTTTTATAACCAACAAAAACAAGTAGCGTTATTTGTAAAATAAATTATTCATTAGTTTGCGATTAACGAATAACTAAATTTAGGAAATAAATATGAAATTATAGAAACTTGATTTCTCAATGAATATAGAGTCTATTGAATATAACTTTTAATAAAGCTGTGTTTGACCGGGATCATTGAAAAAATAATTTCTTTCTGAAAAACGCAGTCTGTCACTGATGCAGACATGTTTATAACAAGGGTTTGGATTGCAATCGTAACTTTTGTTTACCGTAAGCAAATAGATATAATTTAATTGTAATTATATTTTTATAATTTTATAAAACCTTGTGTACTTTTTATGGATAATTTAAATCTTAGTTTTACACCTAAAATCTTTTTTTTTTTGAGTTTTTCTTTTCAAATAATCTTTACAACAATCGTGTGTTATTTGCAGTTAGAAATAAAACTTTAGTTTGTTACACATTATTTAAAAAAAACGAATTTAAATATACATTTATCAACATTTAGATTTTTCTTTATGTGAACAGAGCACTTTTTCGCAAGAGCAACGACTGTTTACAAGTTTATTTCAAAACTATAGCGTTGAGTCTAGGCCCGTTTTACAAGCTTCTGACCCCGTGATCATTTATATAACAACAGACATAGTGAAAATAGATGCGGTTGTAAGTTTGTTTCAAAACTTTAATTTTCCTTACCAATATAGAATTTGATTGTAAATATTTTTAATTCTAAATATTTTAACGTATAAATAATTTAGGGGACTGTTTATATGATGCTTAAATAGACAAATGTTTCAGTGTTTGTTTTGTGTAAATATTGTAAGATATCTTCCACCACATCGTTTGTTTTGTGTAATTAACATAAAATATCTTCAACCACATTGAAATGTTTATTTTATGTAGTTATTATAATCTTTAATCATATCGATCATTATATCAAATAATAGATCTAAACAATGGAACTGATTGCCATATGCAAGATGGTAGATAATTTATCACCATATTACACAACATGTTTTACTATAGATTATTATTGTTGAAAGATAAAGATTATATTTATTTTTTAACGGCTAAAGGTACCCAGATGTTTGTACTTTTTTTTATGTAATATTAGAATTTTTTTTTTTTACGGTTTATCTTTCGTTATTAACCTGTTCAAATACTATCATCAATAATTTAGTTACCATACCTCTGTCATTCTTAGTAACTAGCATTGTTCAATCAAATAAACAGAAATAATTTTTTTTAATTAAATTCTAAATTATTAAATTTTGTGCAACCTGCAATCTCATAAATCTAAGCAAAAATAAACATGTTCACATAAAATGCAAACAAGTGTATTGTTTTTATAACAATGGTTTTAAGCACTAACTTTTTCATTTTTTATAATGCCTTTTTATGAATATTTTTTTAGTAAAAAAATTAGTTAAAGTATGTACAGAAACTGGAGTTTTTTCAAGCTTACACACCATTGTTTATTGAATATTTTCAATTTTTTTTTAAAAAAGAAAGTTTGCAAACGACATTTAAACAACTTGTTTAAGTGTCGTTATGAGGTTTCAAACAAAAACAAGTTTTTGTTTGAAACCTCATAAGCCCATATAAATGTATCATAATAAAAAAGATCTGTAAACAAATTTGATAAAATTAATTTGTTATGATATAGGTAGATACAAAAATTCTAAAAGAAGTCTAGCAAACATTTTTGTAGTAGATTTGCAGTAGACTTATTTTGAGGCATTTTGAGCGGTTCATTAGAACCTGGCTCAATGGTTACTTAGTGGATCATTAGTGGCATCCGCTATTAGTAGCCAACCGATAACTTTTGAACATATGATATGGCGGCTACTACTAATGGTCCACTAAGTAACCGATGAGCAAAACTAAATTGGACCACCCAAAATGTCTATATATGTTCACTGAAATTCTGTTTCAGAATTTTTGTTCAAATTTCACTAAGTTTTACCAGACCAAATTATATTAAAAATTTTTTTTTTTTTAATTATATTAATTACTTTTTTGAAGACCTTATCACTTTGCTGACAAAACAATTTAAAGCGATTTCTGACAATTCAGTGTGTTTTTTGGAACACATTTACAAAACAACTTGAAATGTTGTCTTATAAATGTGTTTCAAAAAACATTGCTTAACATTTCCTTTTTTTTTGAAAACACTAAATTTATTTATAATTAAATGATAAGCCCATGGGGGCATCAACGGTCATGCCGGTAAATAGTTTAGGTATGAACCATTGTTACCTTTGTTAAGTTTGATTAATCTTTATTTTAGAACGAAAAAACCCAAGCAATGACATTAAAGGTTCACGTAAAGCACGTAAGTTACTATTACCTTTTAAGAATTTTATTTTAAAAAAATATCAGACTTTGTTACAAGGTTTTAAAAACATTTCTAAACCCTAACCCTAACCTCTTTGTTTCTTTGTTTAAAAAAAAACATAAGCGTAATTCATAAATTTTTTTTTGAAAATACAAGCAGAAAAATAATGAAAAAAGAAAAGAGCTACAAAAAAATAAGGATATCATTAAAGAAGAAAGAAGTAAAAAGTTTTCTTTAAACTTCGCAGTGTGATAATTAATAAGTATTCTTAAAGTATTTTAAGAAAAACTGAATAAATATTCTTAAACCTTATTAGAAGTTAAAGTTAATCTATCAATTAAAAAACAATATAACGTTATCGTACATAAAATATTATAAAGACATATAGTTTATGTTCTTTAAAATATTAAACAAATAATATGATAAACAAATAAATGAAATGTTAAACAGATGAAGAGAATCGAATATCCGCACAAAAGAGCTAAATACTTCATTCAGCTAATGTAAATTTTTTACAGCTGTTGTTCTGCAAATTGCCAAAAAGAATAAGCACATTGCCTATATTAGCAACAAAATATCAAAAATTATTGGAACTCTATATCAATGAGGGGATCTACTAAATAAACATCATCTAAAACAAATATATTTCAGTTTCATACAAATTTATTTAAATTACGCAAATAACGCTTGGAGTAGTACGTCTAAAGCCTAGCTAGAAACACTCTATCGAAAACAAAAACATGCTTTAAGAATAATGAATTAAAAAAAAAACGAATATGCGAATTTTCCAAAGTATGATTATTTATACATTATATGAGTTAAACATTGATTTAACACTATTTAAAGTTTTATGTCTTATACAAAAGTAAATTTCAACAATGTCCTTCAATTTTTCATGATCTCTTTGAAATAAAACTTAAATTTAAATATTTTTAATATTTTGCGCACAACAGGCACCTAATTGAACCTTTATGCAAAACTAAGCAGGGGCAATTTATAATTAGATATCGTGCTCCTCATATTTAAAATAAAATTTTAACAAAAGATAATATTATAAAACGTGTAGAAAATATAAATTGCTTTCAAAAATTAGTTAAAAATAATATTTTACAGTATACAAATCTTATCAATGATTTCTTTTAAATAACCTTTTGTATTTTTATCTTAATATTAACTTTGAGAGTTTTTTTGTTCTTATTATTTGTTATTATTTTATATTATGTTCATTTTAACTTTTGTTTTTAACATCATTGTCAAAAATTTAATATTATAAAAATATGAATGCTACACAGCGGTTCTTGATGATAAGACCTTCTGGTCTACTGCAAGTTTCTTGTGTTTTTTTAACTATAACACTATTATATTATGAAAATTTGTATTAATTTTTTTTATACGTTAAATTTCTTTTTTACTCACATACACACACACACACACACACACACACACATATATATATGTATGTATGTAAGTATATGTATAAATTTTACGCTCATATATACAAAAATAAAACAATTTTGTATAAAAAACGGTCTCTAGTTATAACATCCTTGTTATAAGAAGAGGTACTAATAACAGCAAAATATATTTTTGGAATTGTAGTTTATTCTTCTCAAAAGTAAGCTTATTTTGAAAAAAAAATGTTGTAAAAATATATAAAGTGTGAAGAGTATGAAATTTAGCATAAAAAAGCTCGAAAAAAAAAGGCTAACAATAAGTCAAAAATACATTTATAGATTGAAGTATTTTGATTAAAACTTCTTGGTTGTCTTTAAGGAATAAGAAGCTTATTTATAACTTATTTTCTTAATTATTATTTTTGAATTCAAGAAAAATTGTAGCGCAACATAAAGATAAAGTAACACTAAATTTTCGCAGTTACTGTATGAGATCCTTGCTCTCGTGATTTATTTACGGCATGGCAATGCGCCAAATTGGATTTAGCGTTCCATAATCAAAATAGTAATGAATCATTACTAGCCCATCATTTTTAAAGACTATTGAATTATATTGGTTCAACAATATTAAATTAATAAGGTTATTAGATGATAAAAATGGTTCCGATATAATAAGAAATATTCATACCGGTGTAGCATGTATGACGTTTTTAACCAGTGCGGATTACTGTACAGTTATATTGACTTGACGATATGGATTACTTGTCAAGTAATTTCTACCTTGGGTACCGTACACTGTACTTAAGTACCAAACGCCTAACATATCTTTACGTTTTAAACGAGGCAATAAATGCGGAAAAATAAACGAAATACATTAGTTTGTTAACAGCCTTTTTAGTTGTTTTTTTTATTGATTTTTTTTCTGCAAATTACACTAAAATGTTATTCTAAAATAAAAAAAACACTAGCCCTATAAAAGATTCTAAATTTTAAGATTTTATTATTATTTTATTTTACAGTATTTATCTCATATTTCTTTTATGTACTAATTTCGTTAGTTAAATTATTTAGAACAGTCTTTTGTTATACGAACGTAGTAACTCATATCTTTTAACAGTGTATTATTTTAAGATTTCAGTATTTATCTCATATTTCTTTTATGTACTAATTTCGTTAGTTAAATTATTTAGAACAGTTTTTTGTTATACGAACGTAGTAACTCATATCTTTTAATAGTGTATTAGCTAATCTTTTATAATATTTTTATACATTATTTTAGCATAAACCAGCAGAAAAAAAAGTCAATAGAAATGTATGGCTTAAAAGATATATATATATATATATATATATATATATATATATATATATATATATATATATATATATATATATATATATATATATATATATATATATATATATATATATATATATATATATATATATATGTATATAAATAAAGTGTAATTAAATAGAAAAATACAACTTTATAATGGAACTAAAAGTTTCATGCCTATCGGCAATCTTCAGCCATATATATTATACAAATCAAGAAAAAACCGTTTAAAAAATACAAAATACAAAAAAAGCAGTAGAATGAGTTCCGACGTCAAAACAAAACGAATAAAAAAACGAATAAAAAAGAAGCATAGTTGTAAAACTGCTAATCACCAGTGTCAAATTGGGCAATAAGAAATTTGTTTTTATGCCGGCACTTAGATAATATTTCACTCTTTTTATTTAACAAATTTGGGTGTTTGAAAAATAAAATTTCGTACTTTTCGTTTAAGCATAAGTTACATCGTTTTGTTACAGGGTTATAGGCATCGCACTGTTTAATTATTTTCCACCTAACAACCGGGTTTAAGTTTTCATCTTTTAATCTCCAAACCTCCTTTGATAATTCAGTGTCATTTTTGTATTTGGGAATTTTAAAAGATTTAATGTGATTAGCATATCTAATTTTAAAAGATGTTTCGCTTATGCCAATGTAAAATTTATTGATGGGAGATTGAACAAGATTGTTTGAGCATACATTAGCTTGATATACTATATTTTTTGTTAAGCATTGGTTTGATAAAGGGCAGGTGTTTTTATCTATGCAATTGCAATTATTTTCAGCTGATTCTTTCTTGTTGTTTATAACATGGCGATTGTGGGCGTTTAAAACGGATTTCATATTAGGCATACAGCTATAACTTACTTTTAATGTGTTTCTGTTAAAAATTTTGTGCAACTTGTGATTTTTAGGGAAGTGCTTATCAATTAATGTTAAAAATATTTTTCCTATATTCGTGCTGACGTTTTTGCTAAAAGGCGGGTTGAACCAAATGATGTTACGTTTACGGTTCTTAGTGTGAGATAATATTAAGTTAGGTTGGTAAGAAAGATTGTAATTAAAACCGGACTTTTTTTAATGCTTCATTATACATTGGAGTGGATTTTTGAAAGATTTCCTCGCTTGACGAATTTGCTGATAATCTTAATTCAATAGAATGTGGGAGTTGCTTTAAAATACTGGATGGGTGGTTTGATTCAGCATGAATGTAATTTAAAGAGTTTCCGGGTTTAGAGTAAGGTTGGTAGGTGTGGTTGTTGAGGTTTAATGTAATGTCCAGATAATTTACGATTTTTATGTTGCACTGTGTTGATATCAGAAGATCGTTCGATTTAAATATTTTAACAACATGTTTTTTAATTTTTTCCATATGGGGACCACTGATGTTTTTAAAAATCGCCAAAAACAAGACTACATTAGAACAATTTAAAAATGAATCAAAACAATTATTACTATTCAAGGATCTTAATTTATCTGACTTCAAATGTTTATTTTAAAGTTTAATCAAATAAAAACAAATTTAATAATATCAATGAAATTTAAGTAATGATGTTAAAAATGCATCTTGTGATAATGTTAATTATGAAATTTTATTTCTTTATTTAAAACTTTTTGTTTAAATGATTTTTAAATATTTTAGCGGTTGTTAGCATTTCAACAATTCTTAATTATTTGCTATTTTGAGTTTCTTAATTTTCTCAGTTATTTTTTTTTTAATTCTAATCATTATTTTATATATTTGTATTATATATATTTGTATGTTACGGTTATGTAGAGTTTTTTTTATGTAGAGTTTTTTTTTTTTATATGTGAGGCTCGGCGATAAGACAAACTGTGCCTTCTTCTTGCTCCTGCCATTAATTTTGATATATGTATATGCAATGTAAACATTCTTTAACGGCGAAATAAATTACACCAATATATATATATATATATATATATATATATATATATATATATATATATATATATATATATATATATATATATATATATATATATATATATATATATATATATATATATATATATATAAATTGTATTTGAAAAATATTTCTTTAAACATTAAAGAGAACTTAAACAAAAATAATTACAAAGTCAGTTTTAAAAGAAATATTTACAAATTCAAAAATAATTACAAAGTCAGTTTGAAAAAAAGTTTTTTTTAAGTATAAAAAAGTTTTTGAAAGTGTATATGTTATTTAAGTTTTTATAAACCCATAAGCAAAAATGTTAATATAATGACAGGTCTTAAAGAGATCTTTATATAATTGATATAATAGGTAATTAATATTTAAATATGCCTTTTTTAATTGACTATTAGTTTTATATATATATATATATATATATAAAATTTGAAAATACACAAAAAAATTTATTTCAATTCATAACTGACTAGAATTTTGACGAGATATTTATTCATGATTAAGGTTTAAAATTATTCAATGTGCCCCTCATTGGCATCATACACAAGTTGGATACGCCGCTGGAAGGATCTGCATGCATTCTTGACATCTTCTTCTGGAACTTTGGCCCATGCTTTGCATATAGATTTTTTTAGTGAGTCGGTACTTCCATGGGGAATCCTGCAAACCTCCTTCTCCACAGCCGTCCACATAAAAAAGACTAATGGATTCAGATCTGGGCTAGATGGGGGTCACTTTAATTTGTCCCAGTACTGACTCATGTTTTCACTGAGAAAATTTTGTGTCTTTTTTGAAGTATGAGCTGGTGCCCTATCCTGCTGAAACACACACTGACCATCTGGATAGTTTCTGTTTAACCAGGGAATGACCTTTTCTTGCAGGAGATGGATATACTCATCACTGTCAATTTTTTGACCTTTTTTCACAAAAACTGGTGGACACTTTTTTTCATCACTTGCTATCAAGCCAAGTACCATCACAGAAGCCTTTACTGTTTTGGCACTACTAAGGTACCTTGTGTTACGACGATTAATAACTATATCCACAGTGAAAAGTTTTTCATCAAAGAAGATTGTCACACGCCCAGGGTAAGATTTTTGCCAGTTTAACAATTTTTTGCATCATTCTTTCCTACTTTCTTTCTATTTATTAGTGATAAGATGCTTAGTCACAACAGCTCTGGATTTAAGGTTCACATTTTTCATAACTTTTTGCATTGTGGAGTTGGCAACATTGGCTTCCCTTGCCAACTGGCGGATGGAGCGCAATGGATTTGGCTTGATTTTTCTTTTGACATACCTTAAAAGCTGAAGTGATCGTTTCACAGATTTTGGCTTATTAAAACGTCGTTTGATATCTCTTGTTTCATGAAAAAGTTTTCTTACTCGAAAAATTGCTGTTCTGAAACCTTTCTGATATCTGATGTAGTCTTATCCGATTGCAACATTTGCAGAATGCTTCGTCTTTTTGATTCTTGCAGATCCATTTTAATTAAATTTTTTTAATTTTTACGTTTTTTTTATTTCTGTGTTGATATCATTGCGTAATTTGTAAACAAACAGATCGACGGATATCTACAAGCATGGATAGAGCCTTAAATTTGAGCGTAACGCAGTTGCCTGGTCACCCGGTAATTACATTTGAAAAACGTAAAAAGGGTTTTCATAAAGTAAATTCTGTATTGTGATTTATACTCCTCTAGCTAATTGCCTGCCAGAGTACCTCATACTATCGCGCGCACAATCGGATGGCATTTAAATTTAGAAAATAAGATGGAGTTTAACGCTTTTTTAACTTTATACATGGGCTCTGAATGGGCCTCATGTGAGCCTCACGTAAGCCCGTAAATACAAAATTTTAACTTTTTTAACTACATATATGGGCCTAAAATGGGCCCTATGTGGGCTAGCCCCACTTGGGCCCTATAATATATATATATTTAAAGAAATATTTTTCAAATACAATTTATATATATATATATATATATATATATATATATATATATATATATATATACATATATATATATATATATATATATATATATATATATATATATATATATATATATATATATATATATATATATATATATATATATATATATATATATATATATATATATATATATTATTTTGAATACCCTAAATAAAGTATTTTTTTCACATTTCTGAATTTTTTTATTTGTAAATATGGGTCAAGGAACTCAAAATAATTGATCGCAAGTCTTCATAAAGAAAATCAAAGTCTAATTTATAAAGTACCCATTGGTTTATATAAATAGATAAATAAATAAAATGTGTTAGTTCTTTTATTTATTGCTTTTAGAAGCAAAAAGTTGTGTTCGATCACATTCTATAAGGTTTAGATTTTTGTAATACTTGCATTTACAATCATGTAAACATGTCAAATAGTTGTATCGTGGTAAACATGTTACTTAAGTAAAATCTTACTATCAATTGATAGTAAGATTTGTAATGTTACAAATTTCAAATTTTATAATGTTACATGATTACAAATGCATACAGTGGCGATTCTACAAATAAAATGAAGGGGGGCGGGGGGAATCCTCAAAAAGTACCAACTGGCTTTTAAAAAAAAGTCCTCAAAACGAAAATTTAACCAACTGAATTGCGTCAAATAGCCGCCTAGCCGACTAAATTCGTAAAAAAACAAGCTATAACTTCAAAACCACCTTCCCAAAAAACAAGCTATAACTTCCAACCCCCTCCCCCCCTCCTCCTCCGTAAAATTGCCTCTGAATGCATAGACACTTAAATCTGTTACAAAACTTAAATACTAAAGTTTATTAAAAGCATTAATAGTAATTAATATTTTCATTAAGTTATATTGAAGATATATCGTGTGATTAAATAATCAGTGTTTCGTAAAGCTAATAACTGCTTATAACATTACCCTATTTCGAAACCAATTTTTTTTATAAAGCTGTTTAAATTAATGAAAATAATTTTCATATATTTACTTTTTTGTGGTGAACCATTAAGATTTGCTTTTGATTTTTTGCTTTTTAAGGAATGGAAAAACAGCCTCTTAACATGGGATCCGGAAGAATACGGTGGGGTTGATAAAATTGTGGTACCAGTTTCAAAAATTTGGACTCCATTTATTCATTTATATAACCAGTACGTTTTTAATTTAATTATGTTTAATAAATTTTTATAAATAAAAATGATTGCAAAACTTTCAAGTTGAATATAAACTAGCTTAGCTTTTTTGTAAACGCTTTACCACCTAGAAAGCGATTTCCGACCATTCCAAAGCCGCGACCCTTTAATATTATTTGCAGAGTTGTGGAGACCCTAAAAATAAACTTAATAAGGTTGCTCCTAAATCACTGCAGTTTTTTTTAATTACTAATTTTTTTCAGTTAATTATTATATTTTTTGATTTCTAAATATATGATTTTACTTATATTTTATACTTCATAGGCATCATATTTTTTTTGTTACAAGTTATTCTTATAATTAATTTATAGTTTGATCATTATTTGCAAAAGAATAACATGTTTACATTGTAAACATTTTATAAATTCTTAACTTTAAAGTTCTAATTATGTATGACTCCTAAATTTTTAACGCACATTGCGCAATTTATTATTTAATTTTTTTTAGTGCATTGCAGGTTTATAGTGAGAAATTTCAACCTGACGAATCTTACATGGTTTTATTAGACTATAGAGGCAACTGTACGCGCTTTTTTTCACATTTCTTTATCAGCAGTTGTGACATAAAAGTGAATAGTTTTCCTTTTGATGAACATATATGTCTGATGGAGTTTGGATCATGGACATACGATGAAAGCTTACTTCAAGTTATTCCGACACATAGCAATGCAGTCAGTGAAGAGTATGTGATCAACGGGGAGTGGGAACTTTTGAGTGCTTTAATCACTGGGTTGAGAGTAAGAATTTGCATTTACGCATTTGGTATTTTTTAGTAATATCTTTAATTTTTAAAATAATATCTTTAATTTAGAAAAAATACAGAATACAAACTTTATATCACAGTAGCATTCAAATTAGAGTTCACATTCAAAGAAAGCATTTATTCTTTGTAATGAATCTTGTAATACCATGCGCTTTGATTGCTTCTATGATTTTTCTTGTCTTTCTTCTTCCTCCAAAATCTGGTGAACGAATATCTCTAGGAATCACTGTGCTTTTGTCAATGGCTATATTTCAAGAGCTATCGTCCGAAAAGCTTCCAACAAGTTCTGAAAACTTTCCTCTATTAGGTAACATAAATTTTCATAACTTTGTTTGAACTTAAATCTTGGGCTTTAGAGGAGTTGGTATATAAAAAATAATATGTTTAAATAAGTTTATAGATAAAATTCCATGGATTCTGAAAAAACGTTTAATTATTGAATTCTAAAGTATATGATTGAGTTGCTTTACTAATGATACTTTTTTGAGGGATCGTGTAATGTAAAATTAACACATTTAAATGTATTTATTAATACATTTTCCCGGCAAAATTCTAATTGGTTAGTTACTTCAAATCATTAAAATCTTGAACTTTGAGATCAAATTTAAAAATTTACCTTTATTTAGTATAATGCCCACAAGAAGAGTGTCGATGAAAGCAACATTAACCACAATATAAAATAGGGCTGTACCGGATTTCGGCTCCGTCTCCTGCTCCGGCCGAAATCCGGCCGTTTTTACAAATCCGGCCCAAATCCGGCTCCGGCAAAAATTTAGCAAATCCGGCATAATTTTAGCCGGAGTTTTGAATTTTGTCAAATATTTATTACATTTTTTTTGCCCGTGTTTACATGTATACCTAATATTTTATTTATAAAAATCAATTTTTTTTGTAATTATATATTTTATGAACCTCATATTTGTTTTGGTATTTGTATTTATATTTCTTTATAATTTAATACGCTTAATCTAATTTCAAACAACAACGCAACAAAAAATTCTGAAGGGAAGACACACGATATTCTACAATGATGCAGGTATAAAGACTATGATGTCAACCCTAATCAAGTGATTGGATGAGCGTTTTAAAAGCATTGAAAAGAGAAACCTCTTTATATACTGACGAGGCTGGTTGATTCACAATTTAAAACTAAATTCTCCTCATTAGAGGCAACACTGAGAGCTGAAAAAATAAGATTGAAGTCAATCTGAGCATGCTGAACAGAAGATTGACAAAAGTGAAGAAAATCCATCAAAATAAGCCGGGCTTAATAATTTTTCTACATCATCATCATCATTACTCTGGCAATTTATTGATAAAATTATTCAGTCTACGTCCGCTGGTGGCAGGGCACATAAACAACAATTACTAAAAGGCATTGAAACTCAGCAAAGGAAATATCCGAAAGAACCAGAAATAAATAGACACAATGATCCACTACAGTGGCGGAGTGACAAAATCCCGGAAAAAAAGTTCAATAGAATTACTATAAACTTTTAAAACATATAGCCTATAGAATTTCTTTAGAATTTCTATTAATTTATATATAGAAATTGCTATAAAACTTTTTAAATAACAAAAATGAAGTTTAACAGAAAAAAGCAGTCACTTGGTATTCTAAATAGTCCACATTGTTGACCATGCTCAACACTAAGTAGGGATGTACAGGATTTTGGCTCCTGTAGTTTTCTTTTGAAATCCGGCTCCGGCTCCGGCTCCGGCTCCGGCTCCGATTCCGGCCGGATCTGTCAGTAGAAATCCGGCAAATCCGGCTCCGGCCGGATTTGAAAAAATTAAATCCGGTACAGCCCTAATATAAAATCATATTAAAATTAAAAAACTCAGCCAATTCCTTAGAAAACAAGGAAGTTAACTTTTTTTTTTAGAATTTCGAACAGAACTGCTACTATACACAATTCAAAAGTTAGCGTTAAAGTTAGACCTTCAAAAATTATAACTAATTTTTTCAAAACAAAAGAAAATTAAAGTTTTTATTCGTTTCTTCAGGTTAGATAATTAGTCCGGTGATGAAATATGCCACGGTTTGCCAATTTAATTACTTTAATGTTAATAAAATATCGTATAATTTTTTTTTAAGGGTTTATTACACACGTCATCAAAACTACAAAACAAGCAATCCTGAATCCCAGATGAAAATTTAAAAAATGTTTTTGAATTAGAATAAATTCATTTTAATGGCAACGTCATTTTTACTTATTTTTGATTACTTATTTATAAAATTTATTTAAAAAAAAAAGTAAAAAATATAAATAAACTATTTTCTTCCATACAACAATGCGTCAAGTTTTGATTATCTACACAGATTTTCGACACTTTGACAATGGTGAAAACTGCTTATACTTTATAATAGTATTTAAAAATTTTTAAACTCCAAGAAATTAATGTACATTGACACATTGTATTGCAATTGCTCACCTGTATTATCATATTATGAACCTGAATTATCATATTATGAAAAAGTTGATAAAATAGCACGTAACTTTTTAACTGGCGGCAAAACTTTTTGATGACGTTAACTAGTATTTCTTATTATTGAAATAAATTTTCAAAAAAGTCATGAATTCTCAAAAGTTAAAATAAGACTTTGTATAAAACTCAGGTCATAAATTTAGGTAGAAAATTAAGGTTAATGTTGAGTATTAGAAACAACATTATTAAAAATTTTAAAATTTTATAGATTATTATGTTAACATTTGATAAACCATCATTTTTAATAAAAGACTATAAAATTCCATTTTGCCCTTTTTTTTATTTTATTTAAACAGAAAATAAAATTAATTTAAACAGAGCAACAAGTTTGTATATATGCCTTTAACTATTAATGTTGCCTACATAACACATAAATTCTAAAAAAAAAATTATCACATTTTGATTGTGTTCTAGAAAATGTACTAGATCATTTCATAATACTTGTTATAAAACCTCTAACTTTTGTTGTATATTATTTTATGAAGAGATAATGAAGGTTTTTTTTTTAAAAAAAATCGTTAGAGGTTTATTCTCCTAGTAAGATATACAAACCTTAGTTTGTATATCTTACTAGGTAAGATATACAAACCTTAGTTTGTATATCTTACTAGGTAAGATATACAAACCTTAGTTTGTATATCTTACTAGGTAAGATATACAAACCTTAGTTTGTATATCTTACTAGGTAAGATATACAAACCTTAGTTTGTATATCTTACTAGGTAAGATATACAAACCTTAGTTTGTATATCTTACTAGGTAAGATATACAAACCTTAGTTTGTATATCTTACTAGGTAAGATATACAAACCTTAGTTTGTATATCTTACTAGGTAAGATATACAAACCTTAGTTTGTATATCTTACTAGGAGATGAAACTAAGAAAAAACTCTTTATCTTTTTATTGAACCTTAAAAAATAGCTTAACTAAAGATTAATCTAATGATTTTTTAGTTTTAATTTTTAAAATTATGTATTTTGATAGGAGTCTACTACACAATATCAATGTTTGAGATTGGCATTGCTATGGCAATGAATTGTTTTATTTTGAATTTATACTACCGCAACTATGATATGCCTCATTGGGTTCGTAGTTTGGTTTTAGGACACTTGGCAAAAGTTGTTCGAGTTGATGTACCGCTTCGATACATCACAGAAATCTTTGTGGAAGTTGATTGCCCGTCTGAACAAAGTAAAGGAAGATTATCAGCGTCAAATATGTCAAGCGAACAACCCAGCGATGACCCTAGCTTTCGTATTAAGTCGTCGGGCAATGATTCGTTTTGTTTATCAAACAGTAAAGCTAGCTACAAATCCAAAAAAAAGAAAATGTCTTATGTTAAAAAAGACATGGGTGAAGATTGGAGAATGGTTGCGCGAATTGTTGATCGACTTATGTTATTCCTTTCTGTTGTAATCGGAGTTGTATCGGCAGTAACAATTTTTCTACAAACAGATAGATTTAAAAAATTTTTATACGGTTAGGTCATTTATTGAGAAAATTATGAAGAAAGTTTTGTTCTTTTCAATAGTTTTCAAACATAAAAATGAAATTTTAGGGAATTTATTACTTAACTTCTATGTAGTCTACTGAATTAAAACTTTTACAAAAAAAAAGTTTTAATTTTTGCACATAGGTTCTAGAGCTTTAAAACTTTCAGCATTTGTGTTGTTCTAATGAAATAACATGTTAAAAATTACTTGCAAGGTTGTCAACACCAGGGGTATCAGGGGCACATTAACCATCTTTTTGTTGCAGAATCTTGTTACTAATTTTTCTCAACTTTTCAAACAAGCTAGAGCTCCTGAATATTTAGAGTTTGTATAGTCCTGATGATATTGAATGTTGAAAGTTGTTTCCAGTGCCAAGACATTGTTGGGAGAAGGATTTAGGGCATGTGCCCCCTTTTCTTGTAGTAGAATTCTATGATAAATTTTTCACTACCTTCCAGACCAGCTAATACATTTTTCCAGCAGGGCCGTCTCGGGCGTGGGGGTGGGGGAATGACGTAGGGGGTGTTTAGCCCCCGTACGAATTTTATTAGTCGGCAAATTAAACACTGGAGTCGGCAAAATTGGATTTATAGTTGGCAGTCGGCAAATGTCGGAAAACGAGGACGTATTTTTTTTTTTTTATAAGATTAGTTAGTGGGCAAAAACTTTTATTGGCTTTAAGCAGCAAAAAACATACCCGTCACCGCCCCCCTTCTCCTTTAAAATCTCTTCGGGACGGCCCTGGATAACAGTGTTAGTTAAAGTTGTTTCCAGGGCTTTCAACTCCAGGAGACTGGTGCGCACGCACTCACCCCCTTCTCTCAATTTTTTTCACTCGAGAACAGTTTTTTTCTTTATTTTTAGTAAGAATAGTTTTTTTTTGAGTAAAAATAACCTTTTAGAAGAAATCTGATTAGTGGGGTAGGAAGGTTTTTAAATGTTTGAAATAACCAACTATTAAACAAAACGAATATTTCAAAATTTTTTATGTTCATAGTTTATTAGTTTAGTTTAGTTTTTAGTTTATTAGTTTATTTCGCCGTTAAAAATATTTACAAAGTACAACAATATAAAAAGTACAATTGGCTGGAGCAAGAAGAAGGCATAAAATAGCCTTATCACTAAGCCCCAATAGTAACGCAAATAAATATCCGTAATATACAATAATCCGTAATATATAAGCAAACGTTTTTTAAAAAAGACAATTTAAAATGTTAAGAAACAAAGTTAAAAAGAAAAAAAAAAAAAAAAAAAAAAGTATTAAAATAATTGAAGAAAACTAAAAAAAATAAAAAGAAATGATTAAAATATCGTAATAAAAATGACAAAAATTTTTTGTTTTTGGTTATAAATTAGATGTGATTCGACATATATATTTGTATATATTATTTTCTTTCAAAATAATTCAAAATTCAAATAAAAATTCTGTTCCAATATTATAAAATATATCAAGAAAATTGTAGGTAACTTTAAGAGAATATATATATTCAATGAAAGTATGATAAAGACATTGAAATTCTTAGTATTGTTAAATGGTCTAGATTTTTAAATTTATGGTGCTAATTTAGTTTAATAAATTTTAAAGCTTGTATGACGAAAAAATTCTTAAAAAAAATTACTATGATAGGAGAATGGGAACAAGACACTCTAAAATCTTAGCCCCCTTGCCCCAAACGTGAAAGCAACAAGCTGATTAAGGTGTTTATAGCCTTTAAAAAAAATTCAAAGAAAACTATAGTTTTTTTTTGAAAGGAAATTTTTATAAAATAAAAGCGAAAGCTCATATAACAGAGCAGCTCGAAAATAAAAAAAAGTAAAACTTACTAAACATAAAATCATTCTATTTAAAAACAAGTGAGAGTTATTTTTAGGCATTTTTAATATATAAATTAAGTTTTAGCAAGGTATTGTTTGCCGATTACGCAATTGCATTTGTATGTTAACATAGTTCAAGTTATCTTCATTATTTAATACTTATTCATAAAATGACATTTTAGAAAGTTTATTTGATGAAAGTCTCGGTTTATTTATAAAAGTTTACAACTGAAACTTATTAATATCATATACTTAGTTAATTATACGTATTTGATTGATTAAACGTAAATTAAATTATTGCTGCTTAAAATAATATTATTATGATAAGTTAGGGGAAAGCGGGGCAACATGGCGAACGTTTTGAAAGCCCTGAGTTATTGCAAAACTCTCAGTCATGAAGCAATAATACTTTCTCAGTATGTTTATTTTATTAAAATCCTTCATTGCCTGCATGAACTTTCAGTTTGCAAATATAACAATTTGAAATAAATATTAAAATAAAAAGTTTATAAATTTGCCATCTGATCACGTGACCGGGGCAAGATGACTTATTATGCTATTTTTATTAAAATTTTAAAAACTACCAATATCTCTAAATAAAGTAACAAAAAATAAACACAAATTGCAAAAAACTACTTCTACAGCAGTTAAACTTTAAGGACACCATCCATTATGAGAAACCGAAAGTGAGGAATTTTTTTTTAAGCGAAAAAAGTATACTTATGCGTATAAAATTGCGTTAATAATATTTCAAAAAACCAATTGGTGTTTTAAAATACAAAATGCAAATACAGTTTTGTTTTCACCCAATTTTAAGAATTTTTGTTAAGTTGTTATATGAAAACCCATCTTGCCTCATTCGCCATGTTGCCCCGCTTTCCCCTATATCATAAGTTTTTTTCCGTTAAAAACTGTTTCGTAATTGCGATGTGAAATAGTTTCGCTTCGAAAGAAATTTTGTTTTTTATCATTAGGCCGGGTGAATAAAAAAAAAAGCAATTGCTTTTACTCGTAATTGGTCAGCTTTACGTAAATAAAAATTTAAAACATTTACCTTAAGTTTTTATTCACGTAAAGCTGAGCAATTACTGAGTATTTGTTTAACTTTGCGTGAATAAATATTTGCGGAAAACTGCTAAAGTTTTTATTCACGTAAAACTGACCAATTAATGAATAAAAGCAATTGCTTTTTTTTATTCACCCGTCTACACCTTTTCAAGATGTAAATGAGAACATGAAAGTTGTAATTAAGAAGTCGTAATATGTAATTAAGAAACACAACATGTAATTGAGAAAACGTTATATGTAATTGAGAAACACAACATGTAAATAAGAAGTCGTAACATGTAATTAAGAAACACAACATGTAATTGAGAAAACGTAAGATATAATTGAGAAATCATAATATGTAATTGAGAAATCGTAACTTGTAATTGAGAACACATAAATTAAAATAGCAAATTCACAGTCTAAGTTTGTAGGTTGTTACAAAAGGTCAAAAGGTCAAAAGAACCAAATTTGTTTACGTCCAGTTCTGGAACAACCAGATTCAAGTTGTCCGATTTGTCGGCATGAAATACACACAACTGAACAAGTTGAAAGGAAACGTTACGTTTTATCTTCTCCAAATGACAGGAGAAGAGTTGTTGAATGTGCGGAGCGATTTGAAGATTGGGTGAATCTCGCGCAAACGCTAGGTATCAAATATAAGACAGCATACAATTGGGTTCGCAGCGGAAATTCAAATTTTATCGGAAAAGGAGGTTTTAAACCGAAAAAGTTGACCGAAGATCAAATCGAAGAAACATTAACATGGATTGAAAATGATTGTCAATTAACATTGGTGGCCATCAAAACAAAGATATTAAGACAATTTAACATAAACGTTAGCACAACAACAATAGCAAATTACCTCGAAGGCAGATTGTTCTCATTAAAAAAAGTGCACAAGGAGCCTTCTAGAATGAAAAGTTATGAAAACAAACAAAAAAGAGCTGAATATGTTAGAAACATCAACGAACATATCACAAATGGTCGTCAGATAGTTTGGTTGGATGAAACAAATTTTAACCTTTTTTGTAGAAAAACGCAAGGACGCGCGAGACAAGGAAAAAGAGCAATTATGAAAGTACCTGCTTCAAAAGGTTTAAACATACACTTGATCGCAGCTATTTCAACTACAAATGTCGTCATGATAGAAACTCGCAGGGGATCATTTAAAGCAGATTCCTGTAACGAGTGGATGTTGGCTATGTTTCACCAGTGGGTTACATCCGGGAATCGTTTGGAGGATTTGGTCGTCGTAACAGATAATGCTCCTTGTCACGCTCGTTTGTAAAGGGTGTTTGATAATTCACCAGCTCAGTTGTTACGTTTGGGACCTTACAGTCCAATGTTGAACCCGGTGGAAACGATCTGGTCCAAAATTAAAAGTAACGTTAAAAATGCAATTCGCATTCCACCTGTATTAGGTGACGGGATTGCGGAACAGCGCATGCAGTACTTAGAACGAATTGTAATTGAGGCGAAAATTACTATAATGGGAGGAGATTGTGCACGTGCGGTACAACACACAACCACGCACTATGCAACTATTTTAAATATGGAAGACGTACAAGTTGGTGCTTAAATGATCAATGAAGTGATTTTTAATTATAATTTTTAATTGAATTATAAATTTTTCCCTAAAATGTTTTTAGTGTTTATTATGTTAAATTCATTTGCCCAAAAATTATAAATTTTTCCCTAAATTTTTCCCTAAAAATTAAATTTACGCTACAAATCTTGCGTCATTTTTAAGTGCGTCATTTTATACGCTCCATTTTTTTACGCGCCATTTTTTTTAAGCGCCATTTTACACTTACTCCTTTAAAGCGATATCTAAATTAAAATTTTCACGTTCTCAATTACATCTTTCTATTTCTTAATTACAACTTACATTTTCTCAATTACATGTTACGATTCTTAATTACAATTTTCGTTTTCTAAATTACATCTTATGTTTCTTAATTACAACTTACGTTTTCTCAATTACATCTTACGTTTCTTAATTACAACTTTTGTTTTCTCAATTACATCTTACGATTCTTAATTACAATTTTTGTTTTCTCAATTACATCTTGAAAAGGTGTAGACGTTTGACTCAATGACTCATTTTATTCAATAAGAACGATTAAGCAAGTTTTAAAAACAAGCATTCGAACACGTATTTAATCAATCAGAGCAAATGCGTTTAAGTGTATAGTTCAAGCTGAACTCTTTTTAGAATCCTAGGGTTCTAAAAAGAGTTCAGAGCCCTGGGGTTATGGGCGATTTTACGGGTGTTTGGGGGTGTCTTCCCCTCCCCTTAGGAGGTGATTTTTAAGTTATAGTCGAATTTAGTCGGCTAACCGGGTATTTGACACAATTCAGTCGGGTAATTTTAAGTTTTGGTCGGGTAAGTTTTAGTTTAAATCGGGAAGTTTAAGTTAAGTTTAAGCCTCAGACCCCAGGGCCCTGGGTCCGAGGCAATTTTACGGTTGTTTGGGGGGTGTCCCCCAAGGAAGATGATTTTTAAGTTATAGCCGGTTATATTTACGAATTTATTTATTTGTAAAATCGCCTCTGCCTGGGGTATAGCAAATGTATAATTGTACGACACCTTCTAAAGATATGTTACTATTATTATGTAAGGTTTGTAAACATCGGTGCAGTTGGTTTGCAAAACATCTTGGTTAAAAAAATATTGGTTATAAAATTTTTACTTTACATTAAGTCAGATCAGATTTAATATAAAACTCATATAAATACTAAAAACATAATTTACAATGAAACTGATATAAGTATAGCTAAACCTTTCCTAATAAGAAATGATAAATAATGTACTTTAAGATCTGATTCAGATGTTAATAAAGGATAGGGGAAAGAAATACAGTGGTTTTTAAAGATATGAAGGCACATAGATTCTTTAGCAATTATTTAAACTATTTTCAAAAATTAAAAAAGGAAGAGGGGTCTTTTTAAATTTTATTTAGAATACATTTTTAACAAAAACTAATGAAAAGTTTAAAAAATATATCCCAAAATCAACTAAAAATAGAATATCAGGTCAAAAAATTAAAACTAAAAAATGTCTAAGAAATATAAGGTCACACTTAAATTCAGTAATTTGCATTAATAGTAGATTCGATCAGATACATACATAATTCCTATGGAATTTTGCACCAAATTTTTTTCCAGTGTAAGTTTGAATTGCGCAACGCTTTCCACATTCTATCTTGATAATTTCTTGTCCATCGATAACAAGATATTTTCAGGGCCGCCAAAATTTTCCCTATATTATATATGAATGACCTTCTTTTTTTTTTTTTTTAGGTACCTACATTTTATTTGGCGCCTCTTGGATATGTGTTGCCCGAGACAAACTGTTTCTCGCGACCCCCTCCCCCTCTCGGCGGCAAAGGATATTTCGATGAGATTCAGAATTAGTGATCTTGCGGGCCAGGAAAGAAAAGTAATGTTGTCTTTGAAACCACTGATTCACCGAGTTAACAGAAAATATTTTCTTATACTTCACTGAAAACAATCTTTTAACGATAATTTGATTTACCACCAAAAAAATTGATTCCTCACTAAAAATGACCTTAGACCAATCTTCTTTTTTTTTTTTCTTTTAATTTTGCTTACATTAAAATGTCACAGTACAATTATATGCCGTATATATGGTGTTTCAATTAAAAAAATTCCAAAACCAGTATAATTGAAATAAGAAAAACACTCACATATAAATATAAGCATATAAACACTTACAGATGAATAGATGTACATATATATATATAAATTGCTAACAATTAACATAAGCTAGGATCTGAAAGAAGATCACAAGATTTTGTCGTCAGAACCTTATAAAATACAAGCAAGCGAAATAAAGACAAGTATAACATACAAAAAATAAAGTAAAATTTAAAAACAAAAGGTAATAAAACTCAAGTCAAATAACAATTTTCAAAATATCAGAAGTATCTAAGTATATTATCAAGTGAAAAAATACATTTTTTAAGATAGAGCTTGAAAAGATAAATGGAAGTTGGTTGATCGAGATTTCGCAGAACAATATTATTCCATAGATGAAGTCCACGATAAGCAATGCAAAATTGATTAAATTTTGTCTGACAAAACGGCTCATTTAAAAAATTTATGTTTCTTATATTGTATTTGTTGTTAGGTTTGAATTTGAAAATATTATTAAAAGCGGCAGGGGATAAATTATTTCTCCATAAATATACAAAACATAAAACTTTAAAAACATTGAGCTCAAATAAATTTAATAATCTCATTACAGTAAAAATAGGTTTTGTATGTGTAAAATGATCAGCATAGTTAATTATGCGGATCGCATGTTTTTGCATTTTCTACTGACCAGTAAAGTCTTTCCCTACCCTATTTTAATATTTTTATCCTTAAAAGCGATTTCTTGGAAGCAACACAACGACCAATACCATTTTATTGGGACATCTAATTTGCTATAACTAACACAACTAACTTAATTACTAAATTCATGAGACAGTTCTTTTTTTTTCGTGTTTGGTTCTTAACGTGCTTCTAGAAGAGTGCTCCCAGAACGGAAGGGAGGAGTTTCAGGACTATTTCCTCGTTTAATAGGTTTATCATCTAAAAGAATAATTAGGATAGTTAAATAGGCGTCAACAAAATAGTTTAAGTAAAAATATTTTTTAGTTTTTTTTTTGAACATTATATTTTGCCGTTGAAGCAATTTTACAACCTACATAAATTTACAAATAAAGTTAATGGCCGGAGCAGGAGGAAAACATTATTTTTGTCTCATCGCCGAGTACTGTGTTACAATATGTATTTTTAAAAATTTTCAAGAGTATAGAGTATAAGAAAAATGTTTATATAAAGAAATGAGAAAAACATTTACAAAAATATTAACATTAAAACTAGATCATCTTAATTAAACATAAACTGTAAAACTAGGTTAAGTTTGAGAATATTAAAGCACCAAGTTTTATGCCTCTTTTTATTACGATTCAAACCTTTCAGTTGTGCTCAATAAAAATGATTATGAGTTATTAACAATTAAGGGGATAAACAACACTAAAAAAAAAAAAATGTAATTTTGCACGTCATATATGGACCACCTTCAGGAAATTTAAAACCATTTATTAAATACTTTGAATGTTTAATAACAAAAAAAGTATATATATATATATATATATATATATATATATATATATATATATATATATATATATATATATATTTATTTATTTGGCAAATACATTTATTTTGTGGGCGACATTAATTTAGACTTGTTTATGGTAAAAAAAAAATTATATAATTTAATACATTGCAATTAATTTAAGAAATAGTTATCAATTCTACGACGTTAAAAATTCATTATCAGTGTTATGATAGTAATGATTAATGAAGAGGGAGATTTGACTACTTTATTTCAAATCTAAAGAACATTAGTAGAAATATCTACGTCGTTTGGAAATCAAATTAATGTCAGGCACCTACCTGCTAGTATACAGAAAATTGTACTAAGGTTTTAAAAATAATGGTGCTTTTTTTTATAACTGTGTGACTTTATTACAAAAAAAAATTATCACGAAAAAAAAAAAATTGTAAAATGGAGATGCACAATTTAAAAAAATTGTTTGATTTAAGATTAAACTTTTAAATTATAAAAACTGTTTTTATAAAATTTCGTTTTTGAAAAAAATATTTTGAAATGTTTCCCGGTTTATGATTATGAGTTAACAACTAGTAAAAAATTTAAAAACTATTTCCCTCTCATTCCCACTCTAGCTTGAACACTATTTCCATATCATCCTAAATCTGAATGTCTCTATCATCCTTAATCTGAATGCCTCTATCATCCTAAATCTGAATGCCAATAAAACTAAAAGCATAATAAATAATTTATGAATAATGTTTCCTATATATCTTTATTTGCATATCTTAAAAATATTCAAAAAATTAACAAAGTAAAAAATAATAAAAAAGCATAGAACTATTTTCCTTTTCCCTGGCGCGCATTACATAATAATATTAAGTTTTGTACTGCAGAAAGTGTTGATGAATCGTTCTGTCCTGTTATAAGGCACCTATCAATTATAACATGCGTACAGTTTGGCTTGCTTTTACTGTAACAAGCATCATTATCTTTAATAAAATCTTCCAAAATAATAGGAAAACTACTAAAATTATCCAAATTACTTAATTCCAGCAATGATGGTGCAGTAAGAGAATATTCTTTAAATAACCATTCATTGTTCATTTTGGCCGAGCATAGTCCTGCAACTCCATGCCCAACAGCACATATAGGCTTGTTGTCATCCATAAATGAAACTAAGCAGCTACTAAGAGCTGAACTTGTAGCTAAATCATAGAGACAGCCAAGACCACTGGGAATTAAAATTGCAGAAAAGCTTGATGCATCAACTTCTTCTAACTTAGCTGGAATCGAAAAAGGTTTCGATTTAAACTCTTTTAACCACCTGCTGCTGTTATCATCAATGTTGGTAAACTCAATAGGGTTGCCATTTGGTGTGACAATCGATACATTAAATGCTGAATGAATAAGGGTAAACGAATGTATAAATGATTGCGCTGACACACCAGAGATTGATCCACTGCAAACTATCAAACAACTAGACTTTTTGGTTGTCATCTGAAAAATATTTAAAAAGTTTTATCTACTTTCTTTCAATTGCAAAAATAAATTTGAACTACAATAGTATTAATTAAAAAATATTCATAGTTAACAATCTAAGTCTATAGTGTAAAATAGATAAATAATATAAATACTCACATTCATAGTTATATATATAACTATGAATGTGTGTTTAGATGTTACAATGAAATAGCCTGTTGTCGGGGGTTTTAATACATACATCAACTGTCTTATAGCCTGCTGTTGCAAAGGAAATAAAACTACAATGGTAGTAGCCGAGCTACAGGAGGAGTACATTAAAGGAGTGCCATTACATTAACTTAGGTTTTGGCATAAGACAGCAATCTATTCTTTCTTTATTCTTTGTTTTTTTCTTCTTTTTCTGAAAGCGCCATGTTAGGGTTGATATAGCAAAGCCATATAGTTTTTACCGCTAGTAAAAATTATATGGCTTTGCTAAGATTAAACATAAAAATAGTTAATAGTCTGTTTGAATAAATTCCTATTTATTATTGCAAAATTAGTTTATTGAGGCTAATTAACAATTTTTTAATAATTTTGTAAAGCTTGTAAAGTTAAATAAAAACAAATGCTTGTAAAGTTAAATAAAAACAGTTTAATTGAGATTTTTAATTTAAAAGAAATAATAAGTAATGTAAAAAAAAAAATAATAATTTTTTTTGTACTAAATAGGAAAAAAAACATATAGATAAGCTTAATTTCTTTGAGTTCAGTTTCTTTATTACTTTTGGGAGTGTGAAGTAATGCAATGCTCTTTAAAACAGTGTTTACCATTGTTGTATATCAACTATAAAATCTATAATCAATTCCAAAAAAATAAAAGTACCCTTGACACTTTCTTGATATATTATAGGATGAATTTTCAGAGCTGCAACTTCACTAAATAGTTGAAAACAAGTGCTTACATTTTGCCGTTCTATTGGTTTAGGAATTATTGATGTTTCAGTCAACTTAGATAGCTTTACTAGTTGGTTTTTTCAAGTGTATATAAGTTAACTAAATCTCTTCTATTTGCAAAATGAAGTTATTTCATAAATTAAGTGCAAGTGACCTAGTTTTTCTGTCAGCCAATTATTTCTTATGCACTTCAAAAGATGGATTTAAAAAGTATTGACAAAACAGTATTAACAGACAATATTAACAGACAAACAGACAAGGCAGTATTAACAGACAAGACAGTATAACAGACAAACAGACAAAACAGTATTAACAGACAAACAGTATTAACAGACAAAACAGACTTAAAAAGTATTGACAAAAGGTTTTCCATCTACTGTTTTGAATTTAGAAAAAAAGCTTTGGTTAACTTTATTACCATCAGTAATAATTGCAATTACTTTACTATTACATATAGAACTATTTATGATGTATACAATTAATTTGCATTGGTCTAGTTAGAAATCTGATGTTAGATTACTAACTATTAATAATGTTAGATTATTAACTGGTAAAACTCTTGTTAAAAATTCAGGTACACCATAAAGACTTTTGAGCATAAATGAAACTACAGTAGTAGTAGTAGTAGTAGTAGTAGTAGTAGTAGTAGTAGTAGTAGTAGTAGTAGTAGTAGTAGTAGTAGTAGTAGTAGTAGTAGTAGTAGTAGTAGTAACTAGCGATGATTCTTTGGTATCAAACCTCAAGATTTGATAGCACAGATCTTAAAAAAACTAAATCATTATGAAAATTTATTTTTGAAGTTATATGAGCTATGTGTAACACATATAACTTTAAAAACAAGATCATAAAACCCATATAATATTTGAGATGCTTAAATATTATTTGAGTTTTATGATCCTCATTTTTAACTTTTAGATATCTAAGAACTTCATTTAAAGCTGACTTTGTATTAAATGAAGTTATTCTGTTATTTGAAAGAGGTTTAAGAGTAAATTTTGAGCCATAATGAAATGCTTTAAATATTAAGTTTTGATTAATTATCATCAAAAATAGTGGAACTCCACAGCTAAATACTTCAGACTTTATAAAAACAGAACTGTTTTGCTTGTAAGTAATGATATCATTTTCAGTTGGTGTTTTACAATATCTTCAAATTTTAAATTATCAATTATTTTACACTCTTTCAATTCATCTTTTTTGATATTTTACATACAGATATAGCATACAGATACTTTACATCTGAAGATTTACAATTTGAGCAATAGTTGGTACACAGCATTTTAAAGGCATTATAAATTATTTAATTTTAATTTCTTTGACAACAGCAGTCAGTATTTTACAGCCTATTTAAAACTAGCCTTCAGTCAAGAAAATTCCAGCATGGTGTCGAGGCCTGATATAAAGAAGACCTTGATTTAAACCAAATGGTTTAAACCATGGTTTGAACCTTTTAAAAAAATATATATTTAAACTTATTTAATGTTTTTTAAACAACTTTAAATTTACAGCAGGAGTGTTAAGCAGAGCTATTTTTACGAATAGAGCTATACCTTTTATGTAAATGCTTAATGTGAATGCACTTATTTAAAAGCATAATAACATTTCTGAAA